CCTCCCTCCAAAGCTCAGTTTCCTGCTAGACCACTGTCTCAATTTGCCCTTGATCTTATCCAATAATGTTTTACAATCAGTCCCATACAGATTCCTAGTCACCAAAGGCACCCCCAAATACCTAACAGGGAGTTGTCCAACTCTGAAGCCTGTTACCGTACTGATTTGTTCCACTTCTCCCCCAGGAATTCCACAAGTGTAAATTTCAGTCTTCATGGCATTTAACTTCAGACCAGACAAATCATAGAATTTATCCAGGATGCTAAGCACCCCCAATACTGAGTCCAGTGATCCATGACAGAACAACATCAAGTCATCAGTAAAACATAAATGTGTAAGAGAGATCCTCTTACACCTTGGATAGAATCTGAAAATACCATTCCTGGCAGCAACATCAAGCAACTTAGAGAGAAAATTCATTACAAACACAAATAGGTAAGGGGACAATGGGTCCCCTTTCCTAACACCCCTTGCACCTCTAAAGTAGCCTACTAAGCTGTCATTCAAAGCTATTGAGTACCTAGGAGTTATCACACAGGTACTAATACATCCGCAAAATTTTTTAGGAAGTCCCATGGCATCAAGAATATTCAACAGGAAATCCCAACTGATTGAATCGAATGCTTTCTGCAAATCCACTTTGATTGCACACCTTGGGGAAAGATTCTTCCTTGCATAACCCCTAATTATTTATTGTACTAGCAATGTGTTATCAGCAATGCTTCTGCCCTTAAAAAAAGCGGATTGACTAGCAGAAATCATACCAGGAAAACACTGGGCAAGCCTAATAACCAGGATTTTAGTGATTGTTTTATACACAACAGAGCAGCAAGATATAGGCCTAAATTCCTTAGCCATGTTAGAGTTCAATGACTTAGGCACTAAAACAATAGTAGTAGCATTAAATTCTGGAAGGAGATAAGAAGACTGAAAAAAGTACCTCACATCATTGAGAAAGTCTCTACTAACAATCTCCCAAGCTGCCCTGAAAAACCAGGAGGTGTATCCATTTGGGCTTGGGCTCTTATCCCTCCTCTGCCTGAACAAAGCCTCTTTGATTTCCTTGTCTGGAATCTCACATTCTAGCACACTCTCAGCACGAGCAGGCAAAGAATAGTTCATTATATCTTTTAATCATTCAGGGTTGTAACTCAAAACCAAGGGGTCAACAGTCACTATAAGCCTACTATAAAAATCCACCAGCTCAGCAGCCATGTCATCAAATTTCTCCAGCAATTGCCCAGTCTCAGTCTTAAGAACTCTAATAGTGTTATTCTTCTTTTGAGACAACTTTTTGGTGAAAAAACTTTGTGCTTAAGTCACCTTCTTGCAACCAGTGCACCTTAGCTCTCTGTTTATAGAAATCCAGTTCAGCCATTTCCAAATCAACTAAAGCAGCTTGTATTTTCTCCTCCTCCTCCATCCCATCCTGATTAGCAGCAGTAAGATTAGCAAGCTGAATATGTTCCAGTTCAACTCTTTTAGCAGCTACTCTTGATGAAATATCAGAAAATTGAGTCCTATTCAAATCCTTCAAAATAGGCTTCAGTCTCTTTAATTTGCAAAACAGCACCTGCATAGCATTACCATCACAGTGCTGTAACCAGGAAGCTTTAACACTGCTAAAAAAATTCTCACTTGTAGTCTAGCAATTAAAAAACTTAAAGGGCTTCAGTTTATGAATCTGAGCCTCTTTTTGAGTCCAAATAATCCCCAAACAGTGATCAGATACTCCAGGGGCCTTGTACTCAGCAAAAGAGACTGGAAAATCCAACATCCACTGAGAATTAATAAGAATCCTGTCTAATTTCCTGTCCAGGTAAGAACCTTCTTGCTTGTTAGACTAAGTGAAGATAGGTCCTACAAATGGGTGATCTTACAACTCCAAATCATCCATGCAGCCCTGTTAATATTCCATGTCAGATGAAGAATATGACCCCAAATCACAATCAAAACTCTCATTAACCTCAGCTACAATTTTAAAGTCACCCCCAACTACCCAAGAAGAAGCACCAACATCATTTTCCAAGTTTCTCGAGTATTCCCAAAGTCCCCTCCTAGTTTGACTATTATTACTACCATAAACTGCAGTAATAAAACCTCTATGACCATCAATGTCACCAAAAATAGTAAGGCCTTGGTCTGATCCCCCAACAACAGAGAAAGGTAATCTCTTCTTCCACAATATCCAAATTTTACCTCCATCAATGAAATTATAGTTAGCCTCATAATTCCACTCATCAGTAGAGCAGCAACCTACTTAGAAATATTGATTTCCCTAATTCTAGTCTCCATGAGACAAATCACCTCCACCCCTAGGCTCTCAAGTCTATGGAACACTTTTCTTTGTTTGAGGGAGTTGTTAATACCCTTCACATTCCAGAAGCAAATGAGCATTAAGCATGAATATGAGGACCTCCACTACCAACTCCTACACTTATATCACTAGGTTTAACCTTCTCAACCATAACCTTCTTTTTTGCTTTAATCTCATTGAGAAGCATAGTGACACCCATAGCAGCTGCGCGAGGCTTTCGGTCATGACCACCACCACCTGTCAGCATCTCCAGTTTGCTTGATGAGCCAGTATTATCTTTTCTCCTCCCTTTAACTTTCTTCTTGATCACCATTGAATCTAGCAAGGTAGAAAATTCACCTCAAGCAGGAACATCTTGCAAACTACCAGGGCCTACCAAGCCCCCTGCCAGTTGCATAGTTTCTACACCACTTGTAGTATGTTTCACCTTATCAACCTGATCCAGCTTAGCCTGGTCAGCATCGACCACAATAGTATCAGTACTCTCTTAAAGATCCTACACAGATAACTCCTCAGCATTTCCAATCTTCAACTCAGTCTTTTTGATACATTCAACATTACCCTCAAGAATAGTTGCATTAGGACAAAGAGGCAAACTAGGAGGATCTACTTCTTTTTCCTTCAGTCTCTCTTTTCCATTTGACTCAGAATGATTGAAAATATTATTCTTCCTCCATATTTGGGTCTCCTTCCCCCTCAGAGATGCACTGGCTACCTTAGTACACACATTAGAATGATGTCCAAAAGTTTTACAGTGTAAGCAGAATTTAGGCAACCAAGAAATATAAACCCTGATCTTCACAATAGAGCCATCACTCATCACAACATTGACCAACTCAGGAATTTCAGACCTTGCCTTAATCTCCACACAGACCTTAGCATACTCTAACCTAGCCTTTGATGTTGTGATGGCATCCATATACAGAGGTTGCCCCACAACACTTGTAATGTAACTTAGGCCCACCCTAGAATAGAGCTCAAGGGGTACATTGTATAATTGCACCCAGACTGGGATGTGCGTAAGATCGAAATCAAGCTTCTGCAAGCTCGGTTCCCACTTTCTCAACACAAGTGGCTTGTTTTGAACATGCCAAGGCCTGTTCTCAAGAATCCAATCTCTCACCTGTTCGAGAAAGAAAATATGAAGAGATTTGAACCATCCATACTTACCTTAACAGCCGAATCTTTCCCCCATAGGATTTCAGCAATTCGTTGCATAGAACCGAAATTAGGAGTTGTACCAATAAATTGCCCCACCACCGCATGACTCCATTATGCTATCCCCTCGTCTATCACTGCATAAGGAGGTTTAACCATGGAAGTTCCATCCGAAACCTCAGGAGGGAAGTAGTTTAGGGTTTTCTCCTCAACTCCCCCAAACAGCTTCCTCCAGTCCAGATTTGAAGCCGTTGAGGTCATAGCTCCACCAATCCAGACGCAAGCACTCAGAAACACTAAAGAAGAACAAGAGATTAGAAACGAATAAGAAATCCTGGAAGCCCATCAATCCTGCTAACGTGCGCCCGAAGAGAATCCATCGCTTAATATCTTTATTTTATTCGAGTATTTTAGTTAGGTTTTTTACCTTTTCTTCTTTGTCATTGTATGATCTAAATGACTAGTTTTTGTATCAATGGTTATAGGAAAATATATATATTATAATTTAGTTACGTTTACAGTTTTACTTGTAAATCTTCATTATAATTCTGAATATTTTATATTTTTAATAAAAATAACGACTTTATATATATATATATATTATTAAGTTTAATATTAAGATATACAAATTGTTTGCAAATAAATACTTAATATTTTTTATTAATTTAAAGTACTTATAAATAATAATGAATGTTCTAAAGAATTTTAATTATTTTATAATAAACACTTACATACCTAATTTGAGTGTATGGACCAATTTTTATGTTAAGCTTCATTGCTACTTTGAGTGTATGGACCATACGATGTCGGTGACTTGTTTATCATAAACAGTGATTCAATTCTCGTTACCAAAGTTTTTTTTGGTAAATTACGAATTTAGTATCTAAACTAATAAATTTAATCTGTTTCAGTATTTACTTTTAGTTTTTTAAAATCATATCTATCATTTATGTTTTTTTTTCATTTTAGTAATTTGTTGTTAAAAACCTAACGGTATTGTATTTTTTATGGATAAATAAATCATTCATCAATCAACTATCTGCTCACTCCTATTTTGATGTTAAAGTTTAAAAAATTTCAATTTACTCCTATTTTAATAATTTTAATTTATTTTATTAATAATTTCTGTGACATGAAATTTTTATTATTATTTTAATAATATATAATTAGAAATAAAATAAATAATTAGAGTGATTAAATCATGAGTAATCTGAAAGTTAAGTAATTAAATTAAAAGAAATTAACTTTATTGACTAAAACAAAAATGAGAAAATAATTGAGTGATGAATGATACAATATATCTATAAGAAAAGGCACCACATGCAAATCATTTTAAGTTTTGAATGTCATGTATTAAAACGAAACAAAAATTAAACGTTATGCATAAATTTTAAAAAAGTTAAGAGTTTAAATACTAAAATAGATTAAAAGTAATAGTTTAGGTACTAAATATATGATTTATTCGTTTTCGTTGCCGCTTTCTTCTCTCGAAATTTCCGTTTATTTGGAAATAAATCTGAAAAAAACACTTTGGAGATCTCAATGTGTGGTCTTCAAATTTCTTCATAGACTCTTCTTTTCGCGTCTTTCTCTCCGCCAATTCTAATTCTCCTCCCAAAGGTCAGCCAGATCCATTCTTCCTTTACATAGTTTCTTCGATTTTTATTTTCAAAGCTGCACTTGTTTTGCTATATAACCCATTGTTTTCTTCAAAACCCACATCGAAAATCTCCCCAATTTTCGTTTATAAACTCATTTCTCGATCTGGGTTTGCCCAGATCTTGCAAAACCTGATTTCAATGGCTAGTTTTGGGATCTGGGTATTGACAATCTTCTTGATATTTCAATATGGGTATGGGTTTTATCTGCCTGGTAGTTACCCTCACAAATATGTCGTCGGGGATCCTTTATCCGTCAAAGTGAATTCCCTGACTTCCATCGACACTGAAATGCCCTTTAGTTATTACAGTTTACCCTTCTGTAAGCCTCCCGAGGGTGTTAAGGATAGTGCTGAGAATCTCGGTGAGCTTCTCATGGGAGATCGGATTGAGAATTCGCCTTATAGGTTTAAGATGTACACCAACGAGACCGAGATCTTCTTGTGTCAATCCGATAAGTTGTCGGCCGATGATTTTATGTTGTTGAAGAAGAGGATTGATGAGATGTATCAGGTTAACTTGATTCTCGATAATTTGCCTGCGATAAGGTATACTTTGAAAGAGGGTTTCGTTTTGAGGTGGACAGGGTACCCGGTCGGGGTTAAGGTTGAGGATGTCTATTATGTGTTTAATCATTTGAAATTCAAGGTGCTTGTTCATAAGTATGAGGAAACGAATATGGCTAATGTGATGAGGACCGGTGATGCTGCTGATGTTATCCCTGGCGGCGGTAAACGAGGATCGGATGAGCCGGGATATATGGTTGTCGGATTCGAAGTGATTCCTTGCAGTGTCATGCATGAAGGGAATCTGGTTAAGAACTTGAAAATGTATGACAAATATCCGTCTTCGATTAAATGTGAGACGACTACCGTCTCGATGCCGATCAAAGAAGGTCAGCAAATCGCCTTCACGTATGAGGTTGTCTTTGAGGTGAGCGATATCAAGTGGCCATCACGTTGGGATGCTTATTTGAAGATGGAGGGATCCAAAGTCCATTGGTTCTCGATCTTGAATTCCCTTATGGTGATCACTTTCCTTGCTGGTATAGTCCTTGTGATCTTCTTAAGGACCGTCAGGCGGGATCTGACCCGGTACGAGGAGCTCGACAAGGAAGCCCAAGTGCAGATGAACGAGGAATTGTCTGGCTGGAAGTTAGTTGTTGGGGACGTTTTCCGTGCCCCGTCCCATCCTGCTCTTTTATGTATTATGGTCGGCGATGGAGTTCAGATCATGGGGATGGGAATCGTGACTATATTGTTTGCTTCTCTCGGATTTATGTCCCCGGCATCTCGAGGAACCCTCATTACAGGTATGCTATTCTTCTACATGATTCTCGGAATTGCAGCTGGCTATGTTGCAGTTCGGCTTTGGAGAACTATCAGCTATGGTGATCACAAGGGATGGGTTTCGGTCGCATGGAAGGCTGCTTGTTTTTTCCCTGGCATCGCCTTCTTGATTCTCACCACTCTGAATTTCCTACTGTGGGGAAGCTCTAGCACGGGAGCTATCCCGTTTTCTCTCTTTGTTATCCTACTCCTACTCTGGTTCTGCATCTCGGTTCCACTCACCCTAATCGGTGGATACTTGGGGGCAAAGGCCCCTCATATTGAATACCCTGTTCGAACCAACCAGATCCCTCGTGAAATCCCGGCTCAAAAGTACCCATCATGGCTGTTGGTTCTTGGTGCTGGAACTCTACCTTTCGGTACCCTTTTCATCGAGCTCTTCTTCATCATGTCTAGCATCTGGATGGGGCGTGTCTACTACGTCTTCGGCTTTCTGCTCATCGTTATGATCCTCCTCGTCGTGGTCTGCGCCGAAGTATCCTTGGTTTTAACCTATATGCATCTATGCGTGGAGGACTGGAAATGGTGGTGGAAATCATTCTTTGCTTCCGGATCGGTTTCCATCTACATCTTCCTGTACTCCGTAAACTATCTCGTATTCAATCTCAAGAGTTTGAGTGGACCAGTCTCCGCAACTCTCTACTTGGGGTATTCTATCTTCATGGTTCTGGCAATCATGTTGGCGACCGGCACAATCGGGTTCCTCTCTTCATTATGGTTCGTGCACTATTTATTCTCGTCCGTAAAGCTCGACTGAGGAGATAATCGGCAGACGAAGAGCTCAAAAAAAAATCAACCTTTACATTAATCAATCGTATCTAGTACTTATTATATTGAGCTTTACTTTGTTAGGGAGAACTAAAGGCAGTGACAATAACATGTTTTACTTGGATTCTTTATTAGTTGCATGGTATTGCATTTGCGTTCTGATATTATATTCGAGATCGATTTAGGTTGCACTTGTAGCTTTCTTGGTGCTACTTATGCCAATCTACTTTGGGGTATTTTTTCAGTGTGGAATGCAATTGAGCAGATTTCGTTTTTTTCCTTGTTCAACTTTCGGTGTTCTTTTTGTCCTTCCGATTCTAAAGTTTCGCCTTCAATAGTTTAGTTTGGGTTTGGAAAGGTTCTAAAATTTTTATTGACGAATTCAGATTGACTTGTCACCTGACTTTTTTTTTTGTGTTATATCACTTTGACTCCTTTTCTATTTATTCTATCATATTTATATTATTCTAATTCTATGTATTTCTTTTTTTTTTTGTTAATAATAGTCAATTATTTAATATTTATTATTAATATTTATTATTAAATTATTGATTATTATCAATTCTGTTGTACCAATGCTCGTAGGAATGAGGGTAAATTATGTTGGAGCACTTCAATGGACACATTAAGGGTTATAAGCGAGTCAAGTATAACTTAATATTGCTGAGCCCAACTGAATTCTACGAATATTCTAAGATAAAACTCAATCGGTTTTACTTAAAATTTTTAAATTTAACTTAAACTCTAGAAAAAATTGTCCGAACTCGAAATGAAAAAAATAAAAAACTTAATTGAAGTTTCTGTTTCTCAAACTTATACATGCAAACATTCTAGTATCCTACTATTTTTCTTTTAAAAAAATAAAGATAAATATTAATATATATTAATAATTTATTTTTTTTAAAAATAATTTTAATATATATATATTTAAAATTGTTCACAAACTTTTCAAACCAAATACCAAATAACTTATTTTGATTTGTTAGAACTCGAATCTATTTGAATGGAATATTTATCAAACAATGACCAAATCAATCCTTAAATAGTTTACAATCTATCTCGTCTCATTTAAAAAGATTATTTTGATTTGTTAGAACTCGAATCTATTTGAATGGAATATTTATCAAACAATGACCAAATCAATCCTTAAATAGTTTACAATCTATCTCGTCTCATTTTAAAAAGCTATAGAGATCTGTAAATGTTCATTACCATTTATCGAGTTAAAAGATGAAAAAAACTTGCAATATCTAGAAAGTATTGTTTCATCCATATACTACATGGAGGTAAAAATCTAAACAAGAACCGAAAGTTTGCTTTTATCGTCTAGGCGAGAATTGGCAAGATGAGTTCATTTAGAAAAGAAACGAAAAGACGAGCACTACATTAACGATTCTGAAATTACAGCTACACGAACGACTCCCAAAGAACCCGAAAGAACGAGCGCGAGGGACACCGAATCTTCTCCAATAGTTGTGCCATTAAGTCCTGCAGAGGTTTCTCATGGCTGATGCACCAAATAAGAAACAAATATCATCCAAGTCATTTCCAAATGCTACTCTTGCCACTTTAACCCTGCGTTTGCCGAGTATTGTACGATTTGCAGTTCGGACATTTCCGAGCCAAGACGTGAAACCGAACTAAAGATTTTGTGCCGCAATCATTGCAGAGGATTGAAACCTGTTGATCGTGATTAAATTTGTAAACGAACAGAGGTAATAAGAAACCTTTTCCTTGAAAGGAATCTCAGGTGAACTCATTCTATAAATGATAAGAAAAGGACGATGTTCAGATTTCGAACCATTTTATTTTGATACGGTTCTGGCATCGGTGTAGCTGCGATCTCCTCGTCGAATTTCTCCCAGACCTTTGACATGTCACAAACCGATTTGGAGCACAGAGGGCAGGCATATCTGTTACAGTGATTAGCATACCATCTAAGGACACATAGTTATCACCAATTGAGGAAATAGTTGATCCCAAGACTGAAATGAAGCACTTACTGGAAATGGTCCCTCATCTCCTTCAAACAATTTGTGTGAATTGTATGCCCACAGGGCAAAACAGTTACATCCTGTCTCGACTCGAACAGAAACTACATGCATAAATTGTGATTTTTCAGTTAGGTAAATATTGAAGCAATTTTTTTTATAACATTTGATGGTTAATAAGGAGAATCTGAAATAACCTCAAAGCATACAGGACAGTCATGGTGCATCGCTCCTTCCACACAGGGATGGCTGTTTTTCAGACGAATTGAATAGCAGCAACCTTTGTGCAACAGAAAATGAAAAAACAAACAGATAAAAGTATTAGTGATGTTCAAATACTCAATAAATTCTAATCCAAGCTTAAATAAGATAGATTCGGATAAGCTTACCACACTTGTGGCAATGGAAGAAGTTCTCCTGCCCTCCAATCCTGGGTCAATATAACATTAATTATTTAGTTGTGTCAATGACAAGAACAGACAAATACAACACCCCTCCCCCAAAAAAATTGACTAGGGAAAAAATAACTTCGTAAATTGTTGTGAAATATTAAGCCAAAAAAACTGAGGACATGAACATACCTACAGATCCCACAACCGTCACAATGATACTGTCTCTTCGATGTCTGCATAGTAGAAACAATGTTAGTATGCAACTATACGTATCAATTAACTCTGTGCAAAACATGAAGAGCTGAGACAACAGAACAAGTCACAAACAGTAAACCATGAGAAAACTTAGATTCACATTTGAATGCTACAGTAGGGAATTTCTGTCCACTTAAATCATCGTCAAAGAGCTTGCAGGATTCGCAGAAATATTTCCCCATACACACACCACAGTTAATGCAGACTTGTTGGACCTGTTCAAAATAATATCAAAAGCAAACATGTTAGGACGAAATCCAACCAAGTACAAAATAACTCTTAAAGCACTATATTGTGCAGACTAAATTTTTCATCATCAAGAATATCAACAATATTCCTTTTAGACGGGAATACCTTAAAAGGTTTAAGCTTTAATATTGACATCTTTCATCGAAAGAAAGTGCTTAAAAAAACATAAAAATAAGCTTAAGAGGAACTTACCTCTTGTTCTGTGCCACACAGTGAGCAAATGACCTGGTAAAACTTTCAGGGAAATGTTAGAATATGGAGCATTACAACGGTGATGCCATAAAATACAATGAAAATAGTTCCAGGAATACCATGGGGTAGAAAGAAAACAGGCTGAATTTATGGAAATAGATACCTTACTGACTTGGCGGCGTGGGATGTCATGTCTCAGCTTCTGATCAACATTGATATTATTCTGAGAAGGATAACAATCAATAGAATGTTAAAAGTATTTTCAGTTAATGCATGTAAATATTATTTTGAGAAGGATAACACTCAAATTATTGACAATAGCATTCTCATACAACAATGTCACATAGATAGCAATTAATGTTGATCATAAAATGTTGATGATAAGAACTAACCCTTGCCTCATTATGACAGTGGCGACAATCAAAGATCTCATCACAACAGGGAGCTCTGATCCGGCACCTTCTGCGATAATGTGCGCAACTGGAGAAAGAAAGGGAAAATTAGCAATACATGGTGTCAACCAACAAACAAATAAAGAAACCTGAATGGAAACAAATTAAAAAAGAAAAAAGACAGATTATAACTTACCCATACTGCATTAGCCCCTTATCCAGCAATTCAGTTGCTTCTGCTTCATTTGATTCCTGTTTGACCATACAACCTAGAGCTGACTGTGGTGAGCATGACCCCCAAGCCTCTTCTTCATATACTTTGCAGTTTTCGTTTTGTTGCTGACAGCTAAGCTCTAGTCCTTCAGCTGCAGAAGGCTTAATCTCAACTTGGTCCATTGAAAAAGACATCTCCAGGTTTAACTGTATCTTATGTTAAAGCTGGTGCAGTCCTAAAAACCTGCAGAGAGTAACAAATTTAGCAAAGAACCCAATATTTTAAACAAATCTAGTGGCTTGAACAAGCCAGGCAAACACTCCATGACATTGTTGCTTTCTTCTATACTGCTTCAGACCAGTCGAAATCAGCAACAAAATAATCCAACAAAGGTTGAACAGCTCCAATCAGCATTACTCCAAGTGAAGGATTCATCAAAATTAGTAGAACTACAATAATCCCACATAAATAAGAATAATGCAGCACGGAGAAACTCCAGAGCCTCCAGCAGTGAATGGAAAGCAATAGCGTTGCATGATAAACTTGATTGCTTGAAGTTCTGGACTCAAATCCAACTATACTGGAGATGACCATGGATGTCCCAACCTATGGTAAAAGCAATATATCACAGAATCAAACAAGTTCTCCAATGAAAAGGAAAACAAAGGGAAAGAGTGATTGATTACAAAATGTTGCTGCATTATCGTCCATAACAAGCAAGCCTACCTCTAGCATTTCAGCACCAAGTCTCCCCTCTGACAATAGTACTTACTCTTCATCCCTTAATACTTTGACATCCTTAGAACTTGAGGAGGATCTTCAGATAAAATTAAGCTTAGTAGGAACTTAATTATTTCTCTACAAGAAAACCTCCAACTACCGAAAAGATTTTTCACTTGAACATAAACCAAACTGGTTCACCAGCCATCAAAATACCTCATTTCTAGGAAGATTAGTTGAAACCAATTAGCGAAAATTCTTTCATTTCTAGCCAGTTTAGAATACACCCTCCTAAGGCTTTTGGAAATGAATCGTAGCAACTTGTAGATTGACCCCATAATTTGGAAGAAGTGAGTTTTAGGGTTTAGAGTGAAGAATAGGGCATGGGGTTTAGGAAAGTAATGACCGTGTCAATCGAAGTTTGAAAGAGATATCTGCACAAAATCCCCTAATGATTTCTAGTGAAAATCTGCAGGAGCAAATGAAATTCAAAGTACAGAAATCAAAGTTTCGGTGTCCTTCCTTCGCTGCAGTCAACCACACAATCTAAGGTAACAAATAAACATAAGTTTTTCGTATTTCTTGCTTCCCACATGTACCGCAATCCCAATAGTCTCTTATGTAGCACTTTATTGTCAGGGAAAGATATATAATAATATCAAGTTTCAAAAGTGAACTCCAAAATGTTATTGTAAAGTCATTATCATTCCCTTGTTGATTTCAAGGACAACTTAAAAAGTTACTCAAAAGACAAAACAAGGTTACATCGTGTGTTGGAGAATACAAACTCAGCTGCCAAGCAAAAGGCAGACCGATAATAGAAACAATTCAAGCTCGTTTTCCTCAATCTATAGCCAAAAGCAGACTTATTTAAAATTTTAAAACTTTGGGGTCAATAACGTAAAAGACACCGCAGAGGATGGTTAACCCCTAATATTGCTTTGCAACAAGCAATCCCTAAGCTCTACTTCGGTACGAATGTAATAGACATCAAATGCGTATGCCGAAGGCTCTAAATCGAATCAACGTTATAGACACAAAAGCCATCCAAGCAGAGAGATAAAAAAAACAACCTCTAAAGAAAAAGAAGCAACCAATTCAGACCAAGAACAGCAAACAGAAATTAGCAGCAGCAATATCTCAAAATAAGAAAACAGAAGCAGCAGCAAAAGAAACACAACCACTGCATCAAATCAATCACCCAGCAAGAATAAACTGAGATTTATATCAAATCATTCTAACACAATCAAATTCGACCAAAGTACACAATGAAGCAATCAAAATTTATCGATCTGACGCTAAATAGGAACGACCGATTCAATCATCGATACTGTTTCCCGATGAAAGAACTAAATCTTCTAAAAACGAATTACTCCAAGCAACTTTTCCTTCCGTTTCTCTCAATTCTTTCAGAAACGAAACGGAAACTAAATCGCTTAATAAATTAAAATCAAAGAATTACTACATCTGACGAAGAACATTAGCCTAATACATTACCTAACCAAAGAACTCAGCAGCAATAAAAAATAATATTTTTATCAACTTAAAACAGATTTTACGAAATAACGAACTTTAAATCTTAGGGAGAAACGCTCCGAACTGAAACAAGAACAACGGCGTGATCCCGGTGAAAACGTCCGATAACAAATGTGAATATATCCTTTCAGTTTCTCACAATCAGAGCCTTTTTCTTTTCTTGTTTGTTTCACAAGAATTTGATGAGAAAATTGATGTCAAATAGCTGCCCTTTTATAGCTGCTTAAAGAGATAAGGGAAGATCGGTTTCTTCGATTTCTCGAGACTTCGAAAATTTTTTGGTTTCACGAAAACCGAAAGCGAAAGCTGTTACTTGCTGGCTTCGGTGTTTGTCATAGCTGTCGATAGACGACAAATTTAAACGTCTGAAATGACGTGTTCACCCCTCTATCTAAAAAAATCTTCTTCACTGCCCATCATGGGTTAATTGCATTGTAAGTTCCTAAACTTTAATATATTCTAATTAAATCCTTAAATTATCTATAACATATACATTAAACTCTTCTGTTAGTCTCGCTAGTTTGAGAATTAAATCTCAGCTCAAATAGTATGAAATATATTTAAAATTTTAGTTCAAATTATAAATATGTGTATGGCTATCTCATGCAAAGATAAAACTTGGAAATTTTTTTAATGTTAAAATTAAATTTTAAATTGTTGAAGATTTAAAAAATTTAAGAGACTAAAGAGAATATTTCTCATTTTAGAGGGACCGATATCACTTTTACTCTAGCATAAAGATATATATGGGATTCAAATTTGATAAATTTCAATTCAATATGGCATTATATGGTTGAGTTTTTTCTTTCTTCTAAAAATTCGAGTTTAGATTAGGTTGAATTTCTTATAAAGAAAAAGGCTGAGTTAGATTTAAGTTTAGGGTAAAAAAATACTCGATTCATTTTAAGATTATAATGTAATTATCCCTTATTTATTTATTGATGATTGCGATAATATTTCTCTTTCTATGTTTTTAATTAGATTCTTATTTCATAAATAAAACTGAGAATTATATATATATATATATATATATGTTGGATCAAGTCGGGTATGTATGCTAGATTTATCTTAAAAAGTGGATTTTATTTTGGATCTAGTATAGTTTTTCCTAACCTAGATCAAATCGAGTTTCGAGTGGAGAGAATAATTCTACTAGATTGAGTCCAGTTGACTAGAAACTTGACTCAGTCTAACCTATACTCATTTCTATTATTACGTGATCGACCTCATGAATGGTCTAGATATAACAGATAAAAGATTATCTTAATTTTTCATTACATTATATGTTTTTTAATGATTTGAATCTAAATTATTCATATAATAAATATACGTGTTCATAGTTAAATTCTGATATTTATAAATATTTTATACCGTATTTAAACTGGCATTTAATGTTTGGATTGATAATTAAGTTGATAAAAAAAACCTGGTTTATATTTATATTGATATCTTAAGTATTCGATTAAAAGATTTCATAATTTAAGAACGAATTTATAATATGAACAATAGTTTAGGACTAAACCATCATTATTGATTAATGATTGTTTAATTGTTAATTTAATATTTAAATAATTTCCCTTTTGAAAATTTTATTCGGGTTCGAAAGGGTCGGTGGAGTAGGGCAGCCCAATAATGGAAACAGAACAAATATAGTTTTTAGACAGGAAAATGAACGGTCGGGATTTGATGTGACCGCAGAAAAGGTTGATATCCGATTGAGTTATTGCATTGCTGACACGTGTATGGTCAACAAGACAGCTGGAATTGGTGATGTCGGATACTAGGGCGAAAGTCGTGCCTAGCTGACGTGGATAGATTATTACGATGCTATTAATTTATTGTAGTGAACAAAAATATCTTATACGAAAAGAGAAGAAGACCTGTCACGAAATTTATTTTGGGATAATGTTTGCTAAAATACCATGTATGTATTTATCTTAAATTTAGTACATTTTTCCATACAAAATACATTGAAAATGATATATAGAATTGTAGATAATGATCTATTTAGTATCTAGACTATCATTTTTTATTCGATTTAGTACTTAAACTTTTTTAAATCATACATAAAGTTTAGTTTTTATTTCATTTTAATATTTCATCATTCAAAATTGTAGTTTTTGTTTTATTTTAATACTCTCGTTCAAATTCAACTTTAAATTTTGAAAAAATTGAAAGTTTAGGTATCAAAACGGACTAAAACTAATAGTTTAGGTATTAGACACGTTAAGTTTTTAACGACGAGATGCTAAAATGAAACAAAAACTAAATGTTAATATGGTTTTGAAAAAAAAAAAGTTTAAGTACTAAAATAGACCAAATTTGATAGTTTATGTACTAAATGTGTAGTTTACCTTATTTATTTTATTTAAAATTTTTTATATATTAACTAATATAATTATATGTAACACTTAACTTTTAAATATTTAATTTTTAAGTATCTTAATAGAAAATTAGTATATTATCTGTATTTAACGATATGGTACAAAAAATAAAAATCATTACATGACATTCAAACACAAAATTAATACATTTAAATAATTTTTTACCATTTTAATATGCTCATTTTTTTAATATTTTAAAGGAATTATTATAATTTAATTTTATAAATATATTTTCAATGAGTATTTTTTTTATCTTTAATGTGTATTTTAAAATTACTTGATTATGTTGGTGTCACTTGCTTCATTTAAATTAACTCAATTAAAAAATAAAATAAAAATTTATAGTATTATAATAGTAATTTAAGTTTTTATGTTAATAAATACCTATCATTAATAACATATTTCTGGTTTCAAAATTTCAATTAAACTAATCATACAATATAATTATTTTTAATAAAATTTGTTGATCAAAAGACGTCCATTAACTAAATTATTTAGGGTAAATTACATATTTAGTACTTAAATTATTTTTAAATTATCGTTATTTTTTGAGATATCGAGTTTAAGCAGCTAAACTCAATGTCAAATGATTAAGAGTTATATCTAAATAAATATTCTATTATATTTACCTCACATATTCATCATAAAATTCTAACAAGCTGTTGTTACCATCACCGTATAAAGATCTATCAATTCCTTAGATTAACTCTTCATCATCGATATCCACATATCAGAAAAAACTTCGAACAAATATCACTTATGTTGCATTTTCATCATATTCCTAATTTCATGTATCAATCAAACTCCAGGAATAGGAATGTTCTTAACTGCAATCCATGAACATTTCACTCGTAGCCCATTTGAAAATGATTATTTTTATAATTGAATGGTCAAAAGATAATTTTATTAATAATTAAATGACCTTGATGTGATTTACCCCAAATTTAATGCAACATAACGACCGGACTCTATGGTCAAGTTCTTTCCTCCAGCTCGGGTGCATTGGTCGGTGCTTTCGAATTGCCCTTGCATTTGTATCGATCTCGATCTTCGATTTCTTCTCCTAATTAAGCTTGATCTGGAATATTACGGTGTCAGATCTCTCCGGTTTGAAGTAAGAATCTTCATTTATATCCCTATTTTGTTTAATTGCAAAGATAATTGATGGAATTGAGCTTTTTTTAATCCTTTTCATGTTCCTACTTTTCTCTCGAGGAATTAGGTATTGTATTAGGAACTTTATTTATTTCCCTTTAAAGATCGTGGAGGTTGATAAAAATGCCTGTAAGGCCGGCACAGTTGTCATTTAGGGATCGGACGCAAGAATTTCTGAGCGTAGCGGAGAGGTTAAAGAAGTCGATCACGGCTGGATCGAGCCAAAATGGGCCGAGTAGTAGTAGTAGTTCGAGAGCGGAGGACAAGAGATCTGTGGTTGCGCATCAATCGGAGTTTAATAGGAGGGCTTCTAAGGTTGGATTGGGGATTCATCAGACTTCGCAGAAGCTTTCTAAGTTAGCTAAATGTAAGTGTTTATGCTTTATACCTGCTTCATTTACATTTAGAATTTTGTTTTTTTTTTTCTCCAAAGGATTTGCATGGTATAGTTCTTAAAAAGATGAAGGTAAGCCAGGCACGTTTTATTTGAAACCTGAAATTTAGCTGCTCGGGTGTGTAGCTTAGAAATTTATGAGCCCCCGAGAGGAGTGATAGATTCAATGGGCTTATGGGAAGTGCAAAAACGAACTTCGATACTTGAAACATTTCCATCAAACAATGATTTGGAATAACGTACTTGATCATTAGTGTTGAATTAACAACTGCTAGAGCTTGATCATGAGAGTTTAAGCGACGAATCGACCAACTCCAATCTTGTTTGTCTTGGTTTATATTGTACTACTGTTGTAGCTGAGCTTGATGAAATTCCAATGTGCA